CTTTAAAATAATTTGGATGTATTTCCTAATCTTCAAAATGTTTTAAGAAGCGACAAAATAAAATTCAGTCATAGAATGTGAAATAAGTCAATGTGTACTTCCTAATTCCATGTACTTATTAATATGTATTGTTCTTCACATCAGTGGGATAGAGATCATCACTAATGACCGTCCGATGCATGTCAAGAACTGTTTAAGTTTACAGAGCACTAGAGGTTATTTTTCTAATTCTGTATATTGAAATAATTTTTGGCATCAACATTTATGTGAATAAATTTTTCAAGTATGAAATATATTTATCATAACACAAACTTTTGGTTCTTTTTGAATTTTTGTATGTTGATGTTTCAATGTCACCTTTAAGGTTCAATGAGATGGTTACTGTCTCATTATTACATGAAGTGGTTGGTCTGTCTTGAGTTCAGATGATGCTTTGTGGTTGTGGAGGGTGAAAGCCAAGGGCTTTTGATTAAGTTAAACATGATGATTAGTGACCTTGTTTGAATACCAAGAGGAAGAGTGTCCTTGCCATGAGTAAAGGAAATGCTGAGGTCAAATTTGAACCAAGTAGCAATGAATACCAAAGACACGGCAATGATATCAAGGGCATAAATTGATACTGTAAAGACAACTTCAGTGATTCCATAGCGAGTGAAGGAAACCAGGAGAGAGCGGTTCAGGAATGATTTCAACAGGGTCACCTGTTGGTCATGTTGAAAGAGGAAAGTACCAACAAAAGCATAAGCCCCCAGTCTCCCATGGAAGAAAATAATAAATGACTCAAAAATGGTGGTCCAGACAGCTTCACAAGCTTCCCCACTCAAGAGAAGTCACCGGAGCCCAGTAATCCTAGTGACCTCAAGGGGGCTAACGGAGTTCGAGATAGGCATGTATGCCCTGCTCTGCGTCTCCTTCTTGGCCATTCTGGTCTTCTTGATCAACTGCATGGCGTTTTCCTGGAAACACAGACACAAAAGGTTTGCTGTGAGTGAGCAGGGCAATGTCCCCCATTCTCACGACTGGGTCTGGCTTGGGAATGAAGTGAGACTTTTGGAGAACCCTGTTGGCATTACACTCCCAGCGGAGGAGTGCACAACCATGATAGACAGGGGCCTGCAGTTCAAGGAGAGAAATTTCCTTCTGAACAGCAGTTCCCAGAAGACTTCTCATAGCCAACTATTTAGACTTTCTGACTACGTCTATGAGAAAGAAATTAAAAATGAACCTATGAATTCTTCAGGCCCAAAGAGGAAGAGAGTCAAGTTCACTTCCTACACCACCATCCTGCCAGAGGACAGCGGACCATACACAAATTCCATCCTGTTTGACAGCGATAACATCAAGTGGGTCTGCGAAGATATGGGGCTGGGGTACTTGCAGATTTAAAATGTTTTCATATGGGCCTGGTATGGTGGTTCATGCCTGTAATCCCAACACTTTGGGAGACCGAGGTGGGAGGATCCTTTGAGCCCAGGAGTTTGAGACCAGCCTGGGCAATATAGTAAGACTCCGTTTCTACAAAAAACTAAAACAATTTTTTAATTTTTTGAATCACCAAGTCAGGTGTGGTGGCCTAAACCTGTATTCCAAGCTACTCAGGAGGTTAAGACGGGAGAATTGCTTGAGCCTGGGAAGCAGAAATTGCAGTGAGTTATGATCACACCAGTGCACTCCAGCCTGGGTGACAGAGGGAGACCCTGTCTCAAAACCAAACAAACAAACGAAAAAAACTTTCTTATGTTTGAATTCTACTACACGCTTTCTGTTTTTCAGAGAGTTGGAGCTGTGAGTTTGGTCACCAATAGAGGGTAATCTAGCACAGAATAATTTGTCAGGGGATTATTAATTAGATCTCTGGTGTCAGAGGCCTGCAAATCAAATGCAAATATGTAATAAGCCAGGGTGTGCTTTTAACACAGCCCACATAGGCATTGCTGAAGTATTAGGAATGGTTTTATATATGACCTGGTACTGGCTCAGTGCTAATTCATAGAAATAAATTCAGCCAAAGGCCTTGATACCCATCTCATGACAAACAGCTGTTTGCAATGAGAAAGAATTTGACAGATGTTTAATTCTTTGATACCGGTAAGGTACAGTGGACAGTTATTGCCCTTGGTGTGAGACTAGGCTTGTGTGAAATTGATGCCCTTATACTGAAAGAATACACTGAGACTATAAAGACCACCTCCGTGATCCCACAGAGCATTAAGGAAACTAGGAGAGAGTGGTTCAGGAATGATTCCAACATGGCGCACCTATTGGCCAAGAGGAACGTACCACAAATAGCACAACCCCCAGTCTCCCGTGGAAGGAAATAAGAATGTAGCTGCCTTATTTGTAACAAACACTGCTCATTGTTTTCACAGACATTTATAACAACATCTGCTTGTTGTGGGTTTTATTGTTGTTTGCTTTTTTTGTTTTTTGTTCTTGTGGTTTTTTTCTGTTGTTTTTGACTTCTAGAGGTCTTTTTAAAACATGTAAAAATATTTTTTATTTGTAAAAATATTATGTTTTATTTGAGACATGCTTTGTTTACACAGAAGTTTAATTCATTGAGATTAGCCATGGCATTTTTAATTTTATTTTTTACTTATTTTTTAAATTTTAAAATTTTATTGTTTTATTTTTGTTTAACTTTTGTCTTAGGTTTTGGGATACTTGTGAAGGTTTTTTACATAGGTAAACATAGGTCATGGGGTTTGATGTACATATTATTTCATCACCCAGGTATTAAGCCCAGTACCCAATAGTTATTTTTTCTTTTATTTTTTCTTCAGACAGAGTCTCACTGTGTTGCACAGGTTGGACTGTAGTGGCACATCTCAGTTCCTTGCAACCTCCGCCTCCCGAGTTCAAGCTTCTCCTGCCTCAGGCTCCTGAATAACTTGGATTACAGGTGTGTGCCACCACACCCAGCTAATTTTTTTGTATTTTTAGTAGAAATGAGGTTTCACCATGTTGGCCAGGCTGGTCTTGAACTTCTGAACTCGGGTGATCCACCTACGTCAGCCTCCCAATGTGTGGGATTACAGGCCTCAGCCAGCGTGCTGGCCCCAATATTTACCTTTTCTACTCCTCTCCTTCCTCCTATTATCGTCCCTGAAGTAGACCCCAGTGTCTGTTATTTCCTTCTTTGTGTTCATAAATTCTTGTGATTTAGCTCCCACTTATAAGTGAGCACATGTGATATTTAGTTTTCTGTTCCTGCCTTAGTTTGCTAAGAATGATAGTCTCTAGCTCCAAGAGATTAGCCATTTTATTTTAATTAATGGAATCCATATTGAATTTCAGGTTTTCTCTACTTTTCCATACTGTACTGCCTATTAATAGAAACTAATCAACTTATCCTCACTTTGTTTCCTTCCTTTTCTCATTGACATCTTATGTTGGCAATGCATGAGAGATCTTACTTACCAATATTAACAACCAGTGAGAAAGGGTCAATTTTCAACATGAATTTTGCAAAGGTGGGGGAATATCTGTGAATCACATGCAATTCTTGTATTTTGTTATCTGGTGGCTGAACATTCATTGGAAAAGTATGAAAACAAAAAATCTCAAAGAAAACACCTGTTTTCATATGAGTATTTTCTGAAAAACATATTTTGCCACCCAGGCTCAAATATAAAACCAGCATTAATAAGTACAAAAAGAAAACCCCTAGGAAACAGCTGCAGATTAAAACTGTCATTTAAAAAAATAAAAAGAAAAATAAGAAATGAACAAAATTCTGTTTCAACTTAGCAGTGAGAAAATCCATCTTTTCAGTGACTAGAAAAGCATTCACATCCATAATCCTAGCAAAGTTGAAACTTTCATGGGATGTGTACTGAGATTGAAAATCAACAAGTATGCTCAATCAAGTCATGAAAATGAGTGGATCAGGAAAAATATGAATGAGCTCTGAAGCTCAAGCTCAAGAGGCAGTTGTCAAGAACACAGGGACTGGAAAAATAATTGTCAAAGAAAAAAGAAATTACTCAAATCTCAAATAGCTTTTAAAATAGAAATTATTGTTGAAATAATAGTATTATATTGTTGATATTAAGCAAATACAATACTAAGCAAATCAAGATTTTTAGAATAAGAAAATGAGACAGTATTTTAATTTATTAAGACGAGATGGCTAAAAGAGCAGATATTGGGCTAGTAAGACCTCAGTGTGGGCTCTATCAAGCCATTGGCATATTTAATAAATAAACCTGGAAGGACATAGAGGAATTACCTTGGACATTTTCATGACCACAAAGGGCTGATGATTGAGCTATTCAAAACAGAAATGTTCAGGTCATCTATTGTATTGTTATTTTTAAAATATAACTTTCATTTCAAGTTCAGAGGTACATGTGCAGGTTTGTTACTAGGTAACCTTGTGTCATGGGAGTTCGTTGTGCAGATTATTTTGTCAGTCAGGTATTAAACCTACTGTAACCCATTAGTTATTTTTCCTAATCCTCTCCCTCCTCCCACCCTCCAGCCTCCAACAGGACCCAGTGTGATTGTTCCCTTCTATGGGTCCATGTGTTCTCAGCATTTAGCTCCCACTTACAAATGAGACAGCGGAAGTTGCTTATCAGCTTATTGAGCTTTTGGGTCTCGACTGTAGGGTTTTGGAGATATAGGATCATGTCATCTGCAAACAAGGATTGTTTGACTTGCTCTCTTCTTATTTGGATGCCCTTTCTTTCTTTCTCTTGCCTGATTGCTCTGGCCCGGGCTTCCAATACTATGTTGAATAGGAGTCATCCATCCTCAATGATGCTGAGAAATCCCTGCCTTACTTTTACCCAGTGGTTCATGTGACCTTGTTTTTCCAAACACAGCCCCAGGCAGAGACTTGGGAAGATCCCCTGGATTGTCAGAAGTTAAGAAGGGAGACAGCCTGTGCAGGATGGATCTCTGAGCAACAAAATGAGATTTGCTTCCCACCTTTGTGCCCCAAATCACTAGAATTTATTACCTTGTCAAGAGGTCTTTGTATAATATATACATTATATTTTACACATTCTGTCTTTATTTTCAGTAGAGCAAGGAAAACTAGAGGACTCTTAGGTACATGTGTTCAGCCAGATGTCTATGTATATGAACGCCACAACCTAAACCCACATTCCCCTCAGAACTCATCAAATTGATGACCAAGAAGTTCTCCTAGCATCTCTTGCTAATAGGAATAAAGAGTGTGAGCAACGTACAAATCACAGGTTTAATGGGCTTGACTGTTAAACACAGGCATTCAGCTGTTTCTTTGTTAAAATGGGGGTGAAGAATTGAGTCTGCTGATGCTTGAAAATTCTTGAAATTTGTCTAGAGAATGAAGCATTTGCTGAAAAAAAAAAAAAAAGTTTGCAAAGCAATTGCTAACACCTAGTAGAAAGTTCCTCAGCTAGCCAAAGAAAACCACTGCTTTCTTCTTTATCTTTTCTTTTTTTATTGTTGCTATTATTGTTTTTAATTGGGTTATTTGTTTCTGCCACTGCTGCTTTTCAAAGGATTTGGTGGAGAAGTAGCTGAAAACCCACCTCAATACCAAGCCACACAGGTAAGTTCACCGGCATGTTCACCGAAACATAATTAGAAAACTAGGCTTGTGCATTTTGAAAGGCATTTTCCATTTTCTTCGCATCTGTATCCTCAACAGAAAAGGGTTTTTGTTTTCTTTTTTACTTTGTGTGACCTGAATTGCATCAGGGAATGAGTCTCCTTCACCCACTCAGTATCTCCGTTAACAGATCCTGGGTGTGACTTCGTTTTGTGGGAGTATTTTCATGGACAAGAGACAGGACATGTCCTTACTCATGAGCACTGGGATTAAAACAACCTGGAAAGCAGGGTGTTTCCCAGGGTGTGGAGCTTGGCGTGCTGAAGCCAACTCAGGGTACTGCATGCAAAGGTGGTTTCTCAATGAAGTGGTTAAGGCACTTCTGCCCTGAAAAATGGCTTCGGGAAGAAAACAGGGGTCACCTCTATTTGTCTGCTCCTACTAAGCTCAAAGTAAAAACACAAATAGAAGAGCTGAATGCCCACTGACAAATTAAACTGTTAAACAAACCCATAACTTTACATTTCAATGTACTCTACAGCAAGTGAAGGAACATTTTGGTGGGAAGCGATAAGGCCTTCAACTAATCTTACATTTGGCATGGATATTCATCAGACTAACAGAAAGTCATCGAAGTTTCATCCGCTCTCTTTCCCTGATCACTGGGCAGCACAGGTTATAGCCACTCTTATTTTCTAGCTGACTGCTTTTCAACAAACACGCCTGCGATATGTAAACTGAAGCGGGGGTTGGGAAAGAACATAGATGATAACTTCTGGAAATTCAGTTCCCTGGACATCTGTGGAAGTCTGTGCAGCATGCTGATACTCCCATTTCTACCCCACGGTTTTGGGAAGTAAGAGAGGAATCCGTGCATCCAGGCTTTCAGAGATCATTATGCTGGGCTTCTGCTCCTAGATTTCCAGCTGCTGAAAACAAGAAAAAGTAAATATCTGTGTAATTTGACATTTAGATTTATAAACATGCATTAACTTTTTTCCACACATGCTCTTTTTGCAGAAATTGAAAGTAATGTAAACAATTTTAAAAGGTATTTAATCGGCCGGGTGCAGTGGCTCACACCTGTAATCCCAGCACTTTGCGAGGCTGAGGAGGGCCGATTGCCTGAGGTTGGGAGTTCGAGACCAGCCTGGCCAGCATGGTGAAATCCTATCTCTACTAAAAATGCAAAAATTATCTGGGCGTGGTGGCACACCCCTGTAATCCCAGCTACTCGGGAAGCTGAGGCAGGAGAATCGCTTGAACCTGGGAGGGGGAGGTTACAGTGAGCTGAGATTGTGCCAATGTACTACAGTTCTAAAAGACCAAGACTCCGTCTCAAAAAAGAAAGTTTAATCTGAAAAGGCATAAAGAAGTTGAATCTCTAAAAAATTAACTTTCCTTTTTCCTACAAACCTGAGTAAAAGTTTTTTTCCAGATGTCCCCATTTGATGATAAGAGAAACAGGACAAATATTTCTTACTTTCTAATCAGCAGAGCAAACTACCTAAAAACTTAGCATTTTAGTGGCTGAGGCCTTGGCTCCCATTTTGCTCTTTTGCATTAATAGCTTGATTATGTATATGTGTAAGGGCAAGAGTTTTGTATGGGGCCAAGAGTGAAAGATGCTACTGGCCCAGACATGCCGAGTTCTGGAGACATAAGAAAGACTCAAGACAACTGAGGAGTTGCTTGGATCCCTGAAGATTGCTGCAGATGTTTCAGGATTAGGGGGCGAGTTATTTACTAAACTTTTTACAAGCCATCCTGTTGGCTACCACGCACTTCACGAAACTGTCAGCTTTGCCATTTTGGCAAATGCCATCCTTTGTCATTGGTATGGAAAGGGAAGTCTTAGTTGGATGTCTTAATGATCAATGGCTCCCCCTTTTCCAAACATCACAATCATCATATAATAATAGACATACAACTTAAAAATTGTCTTTGTGAAACTAATCTGTGAAACTGCATGCTTTTATGAATCTAAAAAGCTGGCAGAAAACGATCCTGAAAGGCTGGGCATGGTGGCTCACTCCTGTAATCCCAGCACTTTGGGAGGCCGAGGTGGGCAGACCACGAGGTCAGGAGTTCGAGACCAGCCTGGCCAATATGATGAAACCCCGTCTCTTCTAAAAATACAAAAATCAGCCTGGTGTGGTGGCAGGCCCCTGTAATCCCAGGTACTCGGGAGGCTGAGGCAGAAGAATCACTTGAACCTGGGAGGCGGAGGTTGCAGTGAGCTGAGATTGCACCACTGCACTCCTGCCTGGGTGACAGAATGAAACTCTGTCTCAAATATATATATATTAATTAAATATATATATTATTTATTATTATAAATAATTATAAAAATAAATTATTTTATTAATAATTATTTCTTAATATAAATAATCATATATATATTTAAATATATATATACACACACACACACACACACACACAAAGTTATGGCTGGGGGTGGTGGCTCATGTCTGTAATCTCAGCACTTTGGGAGACCAAAGTGGGCACATCACTTGAGATCAGGAGTTCGAGACCAGCCTGGCTAGCATGGTGAAATACGATCTCTACTAAAAAAAAAAAAATACAAAAATTAGCAGGTGTGGTGGCACACACCTGTAGTCCCTGCTACTTGAGAGGCTGAGGCACGAAGATCTCTCGAACCCAGGAAGCAGAGGTTGCAGTGGGCTAAGATCACACCACTGTACTCCAGCCTGGGTGACAGAGTGAGACCCTGTCTCCTAAAAACAAACAATCTAAATTTACATAATTATTTATGTAAACATAATTTAGGTAATTTAGGGGAAACTTGTTCCCCCTAGAATATAGAAAACCTGAGCCACAGATCCCAGCATTTTCTCTCCAGATCTCACTATGCATGTATGCCGTGTAGTAAATGCAGTTCCAATAAAAGAAGAAAAAGTGGAATTTGAAAATGAAAAATGGCATTCATGAAAAAAAGTATACCTTTATTTTGACTTTTGTTTGCAAAATGCAAATACTACATATGAGATTTTTAAAATTCACATCGTTAATATGCATCAATGATCTCTTTATGAATTTGTAAAATTTAGATAAGTTATGGTGCCATGTTTGCTGTGTTTATCTTTTAGAATTTTTTAATGGAGGAAAATTTGGAGAAGGACATGACCTGAGCCTATGTTTCATGGGGTGCCCTTACTTGACACAATCAGGACACTATCACTTTCCAGATGGAAAATAACGATCCAAATGCTTTAATGTCCATTAGGGAAATTATCCTCCCAGTCCAAGAAAGCAATCATGTTATCAATTCATAATACTGGGCGGTCTTCATGTTCTACGAGATGTCTTCAAAACGTCATTGCTACAGTAGGTCATTTTTTTACACGATTTTTAAAAATTTTATTTCAAAATGTGGGCTTATTTCCTTAGGTCCTACAAAGGATGAAACTATAGAAAAACCTTTTTACATATCTGCATTGTCTGTAGGAATAAACCACTTTGCAAATAGTGAGATGGATGCTATGTCTTAATTTGTTGTCCATGTGATGACGACTTTTTACTCCTTTAGATGGTTTAATTCACTCTTTATATGATGCAATTCTCTTTGCTGCTTTCTTTGCACAAAGATACTGTGAAAATATAGGGAAAGAGGTAATTCACAGCTTTCACTTTTCATTGTTACACTTGGAACTGAAGTGACCCATTACTTGATTTTGAGAGACACTATAGACCCAAGTGTTAAAATTAAAAGAATAAAGCTTCTAAGAGAAAACGGAAGATAAAACTCTTTGCTATCTTGGGTTTAGGAAAGATTTCTTAATCAGATCTCAAAGTTGCTAACAATAAATTAATAAAATAATTGAGCTTATAAACATTTTTAAAAATTCTTTTCCTGATCCTGGAGAGAATTGACTTAAGAGTCTGACACCTTTTACAGTGTGATAAGAAACATTTACAATTTATCCTCTCTGAGCCTGCTACCTGGAGGCTTCATCTGCATGATAAGAATCTTGGTCTCCACAACCCTTTATCTGAGCCTAGACCTTCTCTTCTATGGATATCTAGTCTTTAGACAACCTCTTTCAACCAACTGCCAATCAGACAATCTTTGAATCCGCCTACGACCTGGAAGCTTCCACTCTGAGTTGTCCCGCCTTTCTGGACCACTGATGTCTTCTGTCTCCCTGGAATGTATAAAGCCAAGCCGTGGCCTGACCACCATGGGCACTTGTTCTCAGGACCTCCTGAGGCCGTGTCACGGCATGTCCTTAACCTTGGCAAAATAAACTTCTAAATTGATTGAGTCTTGTCTCAGATACTTTTTGGTTTACAACGTGAAATATATTATGCCTCCACTGCACTCATTATCATGGGAAAACACCTCAAAAAAAATAAATAAATAAAAACAAACCAACAAAAGACAGTAAAGACCTTTGTACCGTCCATTATTTTTCTGCCCTAGTATTTGTGGCCGGATCAAAAACAAACCAGACAAGGACTCTGAGGGAGGGAGATTTCTCTGACACCTGTAGGTAGGATCAGGCTTCCAGGGCTGCAGAGGGAAGAGTTTCAATAAGAGGAGGAAAAAGCAGTGATAATGACCTTCATGAGTCCTCTACTGCAGACTCTCTGGGCTGCAGTCCCCTGGCACATTTCCTTGCAGAGAAAGGATAGCAGGAGTGGGCTTCCTGATTTCCTGATTTGCTGATTTCTCTGAGGCCAGCAGGTGCCTGGAGTGGCCTTTGCACCCCCTGCTGGTCGTTCTGGCTGCACACAGTCTCATGCCTTGTGAGTGTGAAACCAGGTGCTGTCTCGTTCCCCAGGTTGAATGCAAGAGAATGCTTGGGTAGAACTTTGTTACCCAATGAAGCCTCCTGGCTCTCTAGTCCCTGGTAGCCTGTCCTGGTTGCCGGGTGCTTGTTTGCATTCCAAGCTCCACATTCCCCAGGGTCCAGTGTGGTATTGTGTCTAAGCTGGTGTCTGGCCACCAGAGGCAGGCATGCAGGGCCTTGGCTACTGTACTAGGTCTGCTGATGGCCACAAGCCTTTACTCCCAGCTCTGCGTTAGCAGTGGGGGTGTCTGAAGGCTCAGGGGATACACAAGTCCTCCTGGTTCCTGGGGAGGTGATGGTAAGTAATCCTTCTTAATAGTCTTTAAAAAATACATAATTTGCTGGGTGTGGTGGCTCATGCCTGTGATCCCAGCACTTTGGGAGGCTGAGGTGGGCAGATCATGAGGTCAGGAGATCGAGACCATCCTGTATAACAAGGTGAAACCCAGTCTCTACTAAAAATACCAAAAATTAGCTGGGCGTGGTGGCAGGCACCTGTAGTCCCAGTTACTCGGGAGGCTGAGGCAGGAGAATGGCATGAACCCGGGAGGCGGAGCTTGCAGTGAGCCGAGATTGTGCCACTGCACTCCAGCCTGGGCAACAGAGCGAGACTCTGTCTCAAAACAAACAAACAAACATAGTTTAACACGGACAAAGCAAGTAATCAAAAGACTATCTGGCAAAGTGAAAAATGTTGTAAAATTCTTAACACATTTGACTAGATTATAAACCCAGGAAATTCTTGAGCTTCCTTCAAGATAGGCCAGCTCTTTGAGTGAGTTAGAAACACTGGGCTTGTCATCAGTTAGTACTAATATGAACAGGTCTATCTCTTTGTATAATGATAAAAGGGGCCTTGTTGAAAATAAGCCACAGGTGAGCCCCCTCTGTCTGTGGTGAAGTGTGTATATGGGCCACTTTCAAAGTTAGATATGGTTTCTGTAAGATGAAGCCCGGCCATTCTAAGTCACTTGAGTGAAAACAGCTTACCAGCCTGGCAGAAAAATAATTCACAACCTAAGAAAGCACTTTCTGGTCTTTAAAAACACTGAAAATTTCTTTTACAAGAAATTGAAGGCTGGAAAGAAAGGGAGAAGGACTTGAATAGACAGAAGGAAATTATTGGAACTCTCATGGATACAAAACACAAACCCTAAATGATAGATTTAGTTTAAGTGTCTGATGGAAACGTTTCTGACTATCACGTATCTACCAGGCAATAGAAAATAATGTAGAAGGTGGAAATCTGAAATTAAATATAAAGAGTGAATTATAAAATGAAGACCACATTGTCCATTAGGCAAAGTTCCTTTTGAGAAACCTTTTCATGCTTTTAAACACTTTCTCCTAGAGGAAAAAACTAGAAGACAGATAGTAAACCAAAAAAAAAAAAAAAGAAAAAGAAAAATCTAACAAATACATTTCTTAGAACTCAAATTGAAAATATCCTATGCAAGGAAGAATCTTTCCATTTAGAAAATGTTCACGCAGGAAGTAAGAAAGCTTCTATAGAAACTTGAAATACCACCTGAACTTTATCAATGACAGATACATCAGGTATGGATTTACCATTTAACATTGGCGAAGAAACAGTCTAAAGTAAAAGGAAGCATCAGCCAGTCCCCTTGTAAGCTGGGGACCTAAGAAAAAAGAACAAAGGAATGGAATCAGAATTAGAAAGAAGCACTTTGATTTTATCAAAACCATTTTATCTCCCCTAAGGAAAAAGCTTGTGATAACTAATTAGCAGCTCTGGTCACTGCAGAAATCTCAACGCCTTGAGAAAAAAAAATGCACAGGAGAAACACAAGTTAGACGGAGCTGAATTAAAGGTGAGCTTTTGGCAGGGCGCTGTGGCTCACGCCTGTAATCCTAGCACTCTGAGAGGCCGAGGTGGGCGGATCACCCGAGGTCAGGAGTTCAAGACCAGCCTGGTCAATTTGGTGAAACCCCGTCTCTACTAAAAAAAAAAAAAAAAAATACAAAAATTAGCCGGGCATGGGGGCGGGTGCCTGTAATCCCAGCTACTTGGGAGGCTGAGATGGGACAATCTGTTGAACCTGAGAGGCGGAGGTTGCCGGTGCACTCCAGCCGGGGTGGCTGAGTGAGAGAGACTCCATCTAAAAAAAAAAAGAAAAAAAAAAGCGAGCTTTTATGAAGTGGTCCTCATATCCCTGCAATCCCCAGTACAGCTCTGGGAGAGCCTTCAGAGGACACGGTGATCCACCGATAACCAGATCCGGGAGAAGGAAAGAGAACTAGCAACAGATGATCACCAAGTTGGAAAACTGTTTTTTCCCCCCATCTCCTATGCCAACAGTATCACCTTTTATAAAAATCTTTTGTGCTTTCTCTCTGTAGCAAGAGGAAAGCAGGGAAAAAGATATTTAAGAGTAGGTCTTAGTGTACACATTCTGCATAACCTAAGGATTTGGGAGCCCTTCACTCTCACGCCTGAATTCATCCAGTTTCAACAAATCAAAACAAGGAGGCAGTTCAGGGCCAATCTAACTGCTGTTATTTGTGAAGTAAAGGGCATACCTAACTTCCAAACCCTCCCTGCTGTGCTTCAGAACTCTTAGAAAAAACCCAGTAATTGTACAGGCCACCCCTTCCAGCGATGGCTGGGGCCTCACTCCTCCTTCAGACTGGGGTTTCTAGGTGCTGGCGTAATCTGCAACCCACACTGTGCCTGTACAAGCAGGGCTAACTAACAAAGGGCGGTGTGAACAGCTTTACGATGAATGTCATAGCAGGATTATTTTATGTACCAATAACTAAATCCCAACCATTCTGGCTTAAAAACACACAGACAAAGTTTCCAATAAGAAATGGAAATAAGGCCAGGTGCGGTGGCTCACGCCTGTAATTCCAGCATTTTGGGAGGCTGAGGCCGGCGGATCACCTGAGGTTGGGAGTTTGAAACCGGCCTGACCAACATGGTGAAGTCCCGTCTCTACTAAAAATATAAAATTAGCCGGGCATGGTGGTGGATGCTTGTAATCCCAGCTACTCAGGAGGCTGAGGCAGGAGAATCGCTTGAACCTGGGAGGCAGAGGTTGTGGTGAGCCAAGACGCAGCCACTGCACTTGAGTCTGGGCAACAAGAGCGAAACTCCTTCTCAAAAACAAACAAACAAACAAACAAACAAACAAAAAAATGGAAATAAAATTTACCTGGAAAATTTCTTTAGATTAGTTGACTGTTGCTATATTTTTGAGCCAGGCCCTCAATGTCCTAAACAGTCTCCTAAGGAATTTTCCTTCTTTTCCCAAATATTCAATCCCTCTGTCTCTCTCGCTCTCCTGTATTGGCCGTATTCTCTTTCCATTTGGTAACGAATGTGCAGTGCCATGCTTTTATTCTACCAGTTTAGCAAATCATACTCAGACCCCACACATACACAGGTGAAGTGGAGCTTCCTACTCCTAACCACAGTGGTCACTTCAGAAAAAGGCACGTAATTGAATGCCTGCAATAAGAACCCTCCACAAAAATTCCCTCCACAGGAACCATTAGGGACCACATTCTTCTCTTGGAGGACTCTTCGTTACATGTGTTCAGTCACATATGCATTTCTGAGGCCATCATTATAGGAAGGGACAGGACACATTCTGATGATCAAGCCAATTCTAAAGGATTTCCACATGAAAGGAGAGTGGTCAAATGACAGCTCCTCAAAGGACAACATGGAATGCAGTTACTAGAAAAAAGGAGAAGCAAGGATGGACAGGCAGAATAACCAGGCGGGTGAGGGGGTGGGTAAACAGACTAGACAGAGGTGACTGTGTGGTGCCTCAAAAACTGTCCCGAGAACGGGGCAGAATGGAAACTGTATCACATGGAGCCACAGTGCTGGCCCAATGCCACTGCAAAAATCTGGATTTTCACCTCAGCAAACTACACAGATGGAAAGTCTCCTTCTGGTCAAGATGAAGTAATCAAGACTAGATTCATGATCTCACCTGGAAAAAAACCAAAATTATATAAAATAATGGTCTTCAAGACATTAGGCATCAGACAATGTAGGACAGTGATTCCCTAAGAGATGGGAAATGATCAGGGTGGACCCTATGGCTGCCCCCGTCCATTGCCTAGAGAGACTTTTGCGTACGTTGCACAGAGCGAGGACCCAGCTGAAGCCTGGTGAACTTCCTCAGCTGCTGCCGTGGAGTAGGGATTCTGGGGGGACAATGGCAGCTGACATTTGCAAGCAGAGTTAACAAAGATGAGGAAAGTTGCACCTAGAAGAAACTCTTGGGCTATACAGAAAGCTCAGGTGAAGTCCTCAGCCGGATTCTGATCCACACATGCACGTGAGGTTAGCCAAGGAGGAACCACCTCAATGGGAGGGAGGGAAAAGCACTCAGAGCTCATAAAAGTACTCAGAGCTCACAATCCCCACCAGCCAGAATGGGAAGGTCACTGAAGCATTTGTAAGTCCTCCAAAGCACAAGGCTTTCCTGTGAATGGCGCGAGATGAAATTTCTTCCACCCAGGACTGAAGGTAAGCCCACCCCAGTCTCCAGTCCTCCTGACCCAGGCCCATAATAGGGTCCCTCTCACCAGTCTGATGGACCCAGATGTTTCCCGTGCTGGTTGTTATTTTGGGCTTGAGTTTAAACTCTGCTCACACACCCTGATACTATATATAAAGACATAAAAGCAAACAAACAAAAACAGCAGGAGAATTTGGGGCCTGTCTCTGGCATCTGGTGAGGTAGCCACAACTAGTTTTGTGCCCCAGCACACTCCAGGAAGCCTCAAAATCATGACGGTAACATCAACTTATTTGGTGAGTGTCCCCACGCACAATGCATCAGATGGTCTGCTAAGTGTTTTACGAGCATGATGCTCCATAACTCTCCCTACACGGGCCAGCTAAATGCAAAAAGCTGCATAACCCTTTCTTATTGAGACAGTGGGGAAGTAAGGATTTGAAATCATCTCTGTATCTGGCTATACTGTCTCTATGTGACAAAAGATGGAAACACAAAAGCTCAATGAACTATAGACAGCAGCCAAAATGTGTATGAATAACCCAAGGTTGCTCAGGGGACAGATTTGTATATCTAGAATCCAAAGGATAACCGTTAAATAAAAAAAATGCAGGCCATTTACAAGGGAATTGTCACATTGCCTCCACCCTTTCGCAGACCAATTTCCCCCAAATAGCTGTTTTGTGGTCAAATTAAAAATGGAACTATGGGTGGCACGGTGGCTCATGCCTGTAATCCCAGCACTTTGGAAGACCAAGGTGGGTGGATCCCCCGAGGTAGGGGGTCCAAGACCAGCCCG